TTTTTTATTAATTGACCCAGAAACCATAAATTCTGAGCAGCATCTATTGTAAAACAATGTGATTTAATATGAAACCATCCTGGTGTATAGCATTGCATAATAATTGTAACTAAGTCAACAATTTCTTTTTTTAGCATTCCTGTAGAAATTTATAAATGTAGAACACTATTTGCTTTTGTGAGCCACCGAGCATGATGAATGTTTCCAGGAGAACTTTTAGTTATTTTATTTGAATCCTCTCCTGATTGAATAGATAAACACATACCGTATAAATATTTTTGATCTAAGCTTAATGTACTGAGGATGTTATCAGCAAGTTTATGAAAAGCACCTTTTATTTTTTTGAAAAGAACCACTGCTAAATTAGTCAAATCTACTGTTATTTTTTTACCAATATCTCTTTTAAATGATGCTGGGCCAGAAGTTTTTCCATCAATTACAGGGAAAATTATCTTTTTCTGGATAATTCCGGAACTTTAGATATTTTTCTCAACTTTTAATTTTTCTGGATATCCAAAATGTTTTTCACAAATACAAGTTTACATATTTTTGTAATATATATATTTTTTAGCTTTTTTCACTCATTACTCATTCAAATATTAAGAAAAAAAAAAAAAAATTGATAACAGCTCAGCTAAAAGCAAAATTAAAAGGAATATAAGGGAAAATATATTCCGGATTTTTTCGAATATTTTATCCAAGCAATTTTTCATATTTTGAAAATATGACATGGACAATTAACTCGAATACATGTTTGAATGGAAGTTCATTTAAATGGAGTTGACAAATGAGCCACTGAATTGGTCTATCAAGTTATGTTTCTATTAGTTTTATCATTCCTCCAAACTTACCAGTGTTTACTACAGTTGCACATAAGATAATATTGAAAGAACCACTTCTGCCAGTTTCAAATATTAAACAGAGAATTTCATCAGCAATGTAGTGAGAAGTTCCATTATCAGGTGTTATATGATCGATATTGCTGCTTGTTGATTCCGTAACTATTGTAATATGTTCTTATTTAACTGTTCCTGAAGCTTTTATTGTATTGTCTTTTCTTCCATCAAAACCAATAGATTGTAATTTCAAGTTTTTACATTTTCTCCCAATTACATTTTTTTGTCCAACAGGAAGTCTTTCTCGTTCTATTTTTTCCTATCAAGCCTATTTGATTCATTTAGTATTCTCATGTATTTTAGAGCAGCATTAACAATAGCAGCCATTGTTCTGCAACTGACACGATAACGATCTGCCACAATAGCCAGTTCATTGTAAAAAATCCTATTTCGATTACATTTGTTTAAGAAATTATCAAATTCATCAAGTTTGTCATTTTCATAGATGCATCTAATTCGATACTTTCCTCAGATTCATACAAAATCATCAGTAATGCGATCCATCTCTTTCTCTACATTTACTCTACTTTATGTGTATTTAACTGCTGTTGCATTGTTACAAATTTATTTTTTCATGTTTCCGTTTTTTTGAAAGTTGATGTGTAAGTATGATCAAGTGATCCAAGTTGATTTTTGCATTGCTTTTGTCTAACAAACGCATCCCATTTTTTTATTGGCCTTTTAACATCTACATCTACATTTCTCTTATTCTACTCCTGCATCATAACAATTGCATGAACATATATCAATTATTTTGTCAAAAGCTTTTAATTTGGCATACAAATCAAGTCTAATTAGGATTTCTTAATCTAGAAATTCTATTTAAATTGGATGCTTTTTCCATTAATCTACATACTTTTGAGATAGTTCCTTCTTTTTTGATTATAGGAAAACTATATTATGCCATATATTTTCAATTTCTCTAGTAACTAATCTATAGCATTTATGAGCAGAACTTGACCCTTTGCCTTTAGCATTTTCATTTCTGCATACATAAAAGCATTTATTTTACAACATCATCAACATCAACATCATCAACATTTTTGTAGGTATAATTGCTGTTGGAAATTTAGAACCTTGCCTGAATGTAAAGTTGTCAGTATTACTGCAAGTATGAAATGCTGTGATATATGATTTGCTTTTTATTAATTATATACTTCTTTTAATTACTAAGAAATAAAATAAATACATTATACTATAAAATATATAACAAATATTTTAAAAAAATATTATCAAAATCTACTGCAACTTGTACTTATTATTCCAACGTAACATAATTTTATAGCAAAGTAATATTGTTCAAATTAATATGGGACGTAAAATTCTATATTAAAATAATGAAAGTATAATAATATATAACAAAAAACTTAAAATTTGTGGTGTATGGTGCAACCCCTAGGGGTGTGTATAAATTTTTTTAATGTAGTTTATTTAATTTATTATACCAATTCATAAACACAACATAGTGCTGCTTTTCAAAAATTAAAAAAAAAGTATGGTTATGACCCGCCCTAAGATATATATATATATATATATATATATATATATATATATATATATATATATATATATATATATATATATATATATATATATATATATATATATATATATATATATATATATATATATATATATATATATATATATATATATATATATATATATATATATATATATATATATATATATATATATATATATATATATATATATATAAGGGTGGGTCAAATATTTTTTTTTTCTTGTTACAGGCTCTAAACATTGCTAATAGTTATTAATATTGATACTATCAAATATGAGAATGATTGTGATAGATTTAAAGGGCGCAACTTTATTGGGAAAATTACCGGTACCCTAATATTTTAGAGAAAAAAAGTTTTTCAAAAGTAGGTCAACCTGGTACTCAAAAGAAGCGAAATTTTATAAAAAATTCGAAAATAATAATTGTTTTATAAAAATCATATTGCCAAAAAAATTTGTCATAAAAAAACAATTAAAAATGCACCTTTTTCACTTTTAGTTAAAAAACTATAGTTATTATGCAATAAAATCAAAAAAATTTTTATATGAAAAAGTTATTATTTTTGAAATTTTTTATAAAATTTCGCTTTATTTGAGTACCTACATCACATAATTTTGAAAAACTTTTTTTTGAATAATAATAGGGCCTGCTAATTTTTGTAATTATAGTTGCGGGTGGAAGACATTGTTCAATCCATAAAAGTAAATACTTTCCTAAATTAGTACATAAAAAACAACTTTCTAGCAATGTTTAGAGCCTGTAACAAGAAAAAAAAATTTTATGACCCACCCTAATATATATATATATATATATATATATATATATATATATATATATATATATATATATATATATATATATATATATATATATATATAATATATATATATATATATATATATATATATATATTAGGGTGGTTTTTTTTTTTTTTTTTTTTTGCATTTGATATCGCACACCCTCTTATTTGGTGAGATTCAATAAAAAAAGTAATAAAAATTTATAAATATAAAATTTTTTTCCAAACTGATGATGGGAAGTGGTCCCCCACACCTGCTTTGTAAGCCCTTTAGAACCCCGTTTTTGACCAAAATGACATATTTCTAAAATGTATTAAAATCAATAAGTATCAGTGTTACATGCATCAGTTTCACTTATTAGGGTTAAAAAAATTATAAGAATGTATATAGCAATTGCCTATTCCCAGACTCTAGGAACGCAAGGTCCCAGACCTGTTTTCAAAGCTCTTTTGAGATCCATTTTTGTCTAAAATAATATATTTCTGAAATCTATTAAAATCAGCTTGTATTAGTGTTACATGCATCAGTTTTACTTATTAGGGTGATAACAATAAAAAGAATGTATCTAGCAGTGACAAATTTCCAGATCCCACCCTCAGGGCCCTAGGACCCGGACATGTTTTTTGAAGCTCGTTTTTGTTGAAAATGATAATTTTCTAAAACGTATTAGAATAAACTATTGTCAGTGCCACATGCAATAATTTTACTTATTAGGGTGAAGACAAATGTATGAATGTATGTAGCAGAGGTACATACATTCATACATTTGAATGTATGAATGTATGTACCTCTGCCTCTTTGTATCTTCAGTTGAAATTTTTTTTCTATGATACTCAACTACTTGGTAAAGAAGCTGATGCTGATTGTCATTTTTTGTCAAAACTTCATTAAAGTCAGTGGCTAATTTAACTGCCTGTTCTGCACAGTCATTAACCACTTTCATGGCATGAACAATCTTACAAGCAGCCTTGTAGTCATCACGATTAGTCCAAGATTTAGGAGACGATGTCAAGAATTCTTTTGGTAGATTGAGAGAGTCAAACAAATTCATTGAGCATCGTGTAACAAAGTTAGCTATAGAAAGTTTAAAGAATGTATAAATCTTGTTTGAAGCAAGTCTTCTATTGTCACCTGTTAATGGTTCTTTTTGTAAGGCATTTACAATTTCCATTTTCTCTTCAAAAGAAACTTCTTCACTGAATAATGGGAGAGCAGCTAGATCTTCACTTAAATACCATAATTGAAGTTTAATTTTATTTTTTGCAACATTTGCAACTTTGCTGTCAACTTGACAATAGTTCTCGATTACTTTTAAAAGAAGGAGATCATTTTTTGGTGCTTCTGTTGTGAGAGGTGCTGAAAACCAGAAACATACATAAATTGTGGTTATGAAGAGACAAATTCTTCTTAAAATCCCGATTTCTTTATCTGTGACATTTAATTGATGGCGAAAACCAAAAATTTTTAAACAATATATTCCTTTAGCCATCCATCTTGCACGATGGTAAGGTATATATATATATATATATATATATATATATATATATATATATATATATATATATATATATATATATATATATATATATATATATATATATATATATATATATATATATATATATATATATATATATATATATATATATTAATAATAAAGATATAAAGTTTTTTTTTTGAGTGAAGAACTGAGCAATAATTATTTTTTATTAAATTTTGAAAAGTTAGTGTCTTTAAATAGATTATTTATTATATACATATTTTAATTCTTTACTGTAGGATAAAATTTTGATATTAAATTCCCAAGATAGTTTGTTGCAGAACCCTTCAGATATCTTTCGCTATAATGAAGAAAAATCTGTTTCTATATGGACACCTGGAGGTCGCAGAAAAGTAAACTTTTTTTTTGTTTTGAGCTCTTTTGAGATTTTTATTTGTTTTGAGTTCTCTGTTGTTTTTTTTACCAATAGACTACTTTTTTAGGTAACACCTAAGGATTATATGAAATTTTTGAAAGTTTTTCAATTTGATGTGTGCATTCCGTTATCTGACTGCATTCCCCCAAATCTTCCAAAAAAGCGATGTCGAAAATCAGCAGATAGAACAATTAGATTTTTAGATGAATGCTTGAAAATTAAGATTGATCAAAAAGTACGTACTTTTAATTTGCTGTCACAATAAAAAAGTATTATTTACACTTTCCAGTACATTTACTATAATTTTATATTGCAAAACCTGTTGCCAATAACAAAAAATAAAAGCATACAATTTTTTTTGATTTCTATTATTTACATTATACAAAAAACTTTTTTTTTTTTTTATTAGTATTTTTTTTAATTAGTTTTTTTAGTCAATTACTTTTTTTTTTAATTTTTTTCATATACTTTAGTTTTATTAGTAAATTAATAAAGTTATAAAGGTTCAAAAAATTTATTTAAAATGTTTTGTTAAAATTTAAAGTAACAAATAAATTCTGCTGACCTTAATAAGAAGCTGATAAAAAGATACTATTTTGGAGAGTATAACTTTTAATTTAATTTTTTTTATTTTAAACTTTTTTATTTTAAGTTTAACTAATTGTAACTTTTTTATAGTTGTATCTAGTTTACATCATTTCTTTTAGTTCTTACTTATATAGTTGATGCAGTCTATAGTAGTTTTAATTTATATTTTGTTCTCATTGTTAGATGTTTAGATGTTATACTTGTAATAACTGCATTTAAACTAAAATGTATTCTTTTTGATCAAACATGCAAGGATATTGCTTTTGCTCTGTTTTTTAACTATTCATGGATAAACCATTATATATTTATTTTTAGACAGTTAGACCATAATTTTCTTGTTCTTAAACTAAAACTCCATCAAATTTGTCCAAATTTTATTCTCAATAGTATATAGGAGTGGTATTCTGTTTTTAGGAATAAAAAAAGATGTTTATAACTTATACTAGTATTTACATAAAGTTAATCTAAAATAAAATGGATAAATTTTTTTGTAATGTCTTACAATGTCTGTCTACAATGTACAATTTATCTCTACAATGTGCGATGCAGAGATGCCGCGAATAGTGATTATGCCGAATACTGAATGCCGAATATTCGGGTTGACCCTCTGCCGAATAGCCGAATATTTGGCGGCCGAATATTTGGTAACACTTAGAAAATTTCATGGGTGACAGTTTTCAAACTGAATTAGTAAAGTTAATGTTGTAGTCACCCTACGGGTATTTACTTGTATTTGTTTTATTTGTGTGTTTTTTTATGTTATTTGTGGACTATTTGTTATATCAAACTTTGTTTCTTACAGGTTGTATTTCTTACAACCCATTACATAAGATACATTTACAAAAAGTTGTAGTTCTATAGTTATAGTATATATATATATATATATATATATATATATATATATATATATATATATATATATATATATATATATATATATATATATATATATATTTATATATATATTTATATATATGTATATATATATATATATATATATATATATACATATATATATATACATATATATATATATATATATATATATATATATATATATATATATATATATATATATATATATATATATATATATATATATATAGTATATATATGTATATATATGTATATATATGTATATATATGTATATATATGTATATATATGTATATATATATAATTAAAATTAAAAATATATAAGATAAAATTAATGTATACCTTTTATTAAAAACTCTTGCTCTTTCCACAAGTAAGCGCTTATATTTTTGTTATTTTTTATAATATACTTGTTTAAATATTATACTATATATAATATATAGTATTATATTAAAACTAGTATATTATAAAATTAGATAAAATTTAAGCGCTTGCTGGTAAAAAGAGCAAGAGTTTTTAATAGAAGGTATACATTAATTTAGTTTTGAATTTTCTGTTTCCAAAAGTATGCGCGATTTTAATTCCAGTTTTATATCCATTTATTTTAATTTTCAAATGTGTGATTTATGAAAGTTTTTTTTAACGTCATACATATTTATATTATTTTTTAATTTTTATTTTAATTAATACTGTGTTACCATTTTAAGGTATTGTTTTATACAATACTTATAATACTTATAAATTATTATTAAATTAATCATTTTTAAGTGTTTGATAAGTGCTTAAAAAGTATTCAATTGCATTTGCGTTTTTTTCTATTCAATCCCGGGAAAATCCAGGGGACAAATTTCTCAATCCCGAAATCCCGGGTTTGAAAATTTCCGGGATTTTTGCCATCCCTATATATATATATATATATATATATATAATATATATATATATATATATATATATATATATATATATATATATATATATATATATATATATATATATATATATATATATATATATATATATATATATATATATATATATATATATTTATATTTATATTTGTTTGCTGTGTAAAAACAAGATCTCGTGTGGTGGAAAAAGAATAATACGTATAACTAATTAAAATGTTTTAATAAAACAAATTAGTTACGCTAGTAATTAATTTGTTCCAATTTTTTTTTTCACAATAGGTATTTGATATACTCTGAGTTAAGTATAAGTACATTCTTTTGTTTCCAGCTACAACTTCTCTAAAAAACCACCTTCAAAACAAGCATTCTGAGCAGTAGGCTAAGTTAACTTAAACTTCGCCGGCAAAATGAAGCAAAAGTGATGATTTACTAACTTATACCAACTCTAATATAGCAGCAGTAACAGGTATGTTAAAAAAGAAACAGTTAATTCTTAAAGAGACAGCTGAAAGGAAAATGTGTTGGGATATTAATGATCTAAAATCAATAAAATATTATTTAATTGGAGAAATGATTGCCTTTGACAACAAACCATTATCACTTGTTGAACGAATTGGCTTCAACAAGCTTATGGAAAAGGCAGTACCGCAATACAAATTACCTTGTCGCACCTACACAACTGAGAAAATTATCCCCAACATATATAATAGAATTTGCACTAAAATTGAAGCTAGTATTTCACAAGAAACAGCAGTATCCGTGACATCTGATATGTGGACAACATATCAGATGTCAGCACAACAGCCAAAATTTCTTAAATTTTACTGCGCATTGGATATCTCCAGATTTTATTCTTAAACATTTTTTTTTTGTTTTTTTGTTTAATTATCTTCGCTTCCAACAAGGCTGCAAGCAACCACTAATTAGTGTTAGAAGTTACTGGAAGAGAAAAGATGAAGATTGTAGAGCAAGATAACGATTGACAGACGACTTAAAAAATTGCAAATTATATGAATCAGGAAAGCAAAATGAAGGAAGCGAATTCCAAAGAACTGATGTTTGAGGAAAAAAACTAGATGAATAAGAGTTTTTGGAGCACTTAGGAACAGTAACAGAAAAAGGATGAAACTTAATTGAATAACGAGTAACACTAGAATGAATTTTAGTAGATGGCACAAGAGACGCTAGCTCTTTCGCGTAGTGCCCATTATAGTATTTGTAGAAAAGAGAAAGAGAAGCAACATTACAACGATATGACAGAGGTTGAAGGTTGGCTGCAAGAGCAGGTCCAACTATGTTTACAATGCGTTTTTGCACCTTGTCTAAAAGAGAAAGGGCATCATTAGAAGATCTGCCCCAGATATGGCAACAGTTCTCCATACAAGGCTGGATTTAAGATTTATAGAGATAGAGAATAGAATCCAGAGTAAGAAAGTGACGAGCTCGATAAAGAGAAGCAACTTTAGCAGATGCTAATTTTGCACCGGATTTGATATAAGGTTTCCAAGAAAGATCAGAAGTAAGAGTTAATCCTAGAAGATGAAGGGTAGGAGACTCATCGAGTACATTACTGTTCATAAATATAGGAAGGTCTAAACTATTGCGATAACGATTGGCCAAAAAAAATTGAGTTTTATCTGAATTAAAGTTCACCAGCCACTGTAAGCCCCATGCTGTAGCAGAAGTGAGATCCTTTTCAAGCTCAGATGCCCCCTGCAAGCAATCAGAGGAAATTGGCTTCTTATCGTGACAAGAATAAATGGTAGTATCATCAGTGAACAATGCCACCTTAAATGTGAGAATATCTGGAAGATCGTTAATGTAAATTAAAAAGAGTATAGGGCCTAGGAACCCCTGAGGTTGCAGAATAAGAAGATGAGTGCTGTCCATCAAGGACAACTTTTATACTACAATTGGAAAGGAAGGATTCAATAATCTTAAAGATGTTTCTAGATACACCGTAAGGAGAAAGCTTATGGAAAAGACCAGCATGCCAAACTTTATCAAACGCTTTACAAATGTCAAGAGCCATGGCCTTAACTTCTCCACCTTTATCTAATGCGCGATAAAACCTATCGATTATTACTGATAGCAAATCAGCAGTAGAACGAGAAGATCAAAATCCATATTGATGATCAGAAAGTAGGTTATGAGATTCGAGATTCGAGATTAAGTGTTTGTTAATTAAAGATTCAAAACCCTTGCTTATGATAGGAAGAAGACTCATGGGACAGTATTTAGACGAATCAGATCGCTTTCCAGAATTTTTGAAAATAGGGATAACAGATGCTGGAAAACAAGACTCTGATAAGCACTTATTAAATAGTTTTGAAAGGATAGACAACAGCTCCGGAGAACACTTCTGCAAAACTATAACAGGTATGTTGTCCGGGCTGCAACCTGTAGAAGAATCTAAGCGGGAAATCACTTTAGATACAGAAGCTGGAGTGATATGAATGTTGAGCAATGGATCAACCTGTTTGATGGCTATATCAGGTAGAATGCAACTAGTGGCATCAAGAGATGATATTGATGAAAAGTTCTTGGCAAATAATTCAGCTTTGTCTTTAGGTGAGGTGACAAAGTCTGAACCATACAAAAGAGGTGGAAATACAGACTTGCCCTTATTATTGATACTATTAAAGATTCTCCAGAAGTCATGAGAGACTAATTTTTGTGATGAAATACGAGATTTCATGATCTGAGAATAGCGGGCTTTGGCTTTAGACAAAACATTTTTTCAATGATTCCTAACAGTAATAAACAGACGTCTGTTTTCTGGAGAATTGTTTTGCTGATAGATATGGAAGTAATGGTTTCGATTGGCAATTGCAGCAGCACAATGTGAGGAAAACCATGGAGAA